GAACTTTATATACATAAGCAGAATGTATATTATAATAACAAATTACTAGTTTATATATTATGTAACCGATTAACTATCTAATGCGTACGACAGGAAGAGCTCTTTTAATTTGTGTTTAAAAGATGCCACCGACGGACTGTCATGAATGTCAGAGGGCAGTTTATTCCACATACGAGCTGCACTTCCCGTAAACCAATTGTGAAAAAATTTGGAGTTGGATTGGGGATATAACAGTGTTCTAGTGTCACAGTTACAACACAATTTCATTCCGGGAAGGCGGAATAAAATCGTGTATTTCCATAGCACACTCCCTGTGAAATGTCCTGTAAAATACCGATAAGCAGGTAATTTTACGGCGGTGTTCAAGGCTCTGCAGCTTCGCCTCTACTATTCCGAGTCACGTATAAGCCTCTTGGCACGCTTGCTGTGCCATCCGGGGCCATGGTCCCCTCTGCACCCCCCACCATACACCACTGACGTCGAAACTTTACCCATGATACTGAATCACTTTCCTTGAGAAATTCCATATATATTTAATTGTCAGTAGACCTCCTTGTGAAAGAGTTCGTCCAGGGAAGTACTGCCACCTTCCCTATTTTTGCCGCCAAGCAATAATGTGAACATCACTGCCGCTTATCAACTTTTGTATCAGCGTGACGGGCGCATCCAAAGAGCCTTCATCGTTCGCAACGCAAGCGAAATAAGCGATCTATTGCTTTCCAACATCATTTATAATTGCACCAGATATTCAAACCATATTTGTATTGGTAGATAGATAGATAACACGTTTATTCAGCACAAATACAAACAGAAACAAAACATTTACAATCACTTCACAGAGTATAACATATAAGCACATAGAACATTCATTATTAATTTTATACACATTTATATAAAACACATATTGCGAGAAAAACAAACAAATACTATAACAACTGATAAACTTTTAATGTACTTAAGACTACAGTTTGTGCTGAAATGGCCCTGACTCAGCATAAATACTGTAGACCGAGAGATGTCAAACAGTGCTGGTTTTCTGCCAGTACCATACGGTGAGCGGTCGCAGCCCAGTAAGCCATGCCACCAAAGTGCATCACACGCAAATATATATACCTAATTCTAAATACTATGCATATATATATCAAGCAAAAGTGTAAGATGTAAAGCAAACAATGTAAATAGTGTAAATAATGAAGGTAAGTAATATAAATAGTATATTGCAAAAACGAGCGATACGTTCTGTGTACCGTCTAGGCTCTCGGATTTCTCTCAGGGAAAAGTTTAAGGAGACTGGTATCATGACTGTGGCATCTCAGTACATTTACTCAAATATTTTATATGCTCGTAAAAATATACATAATTTCAATAAGAAAGAAGATATCCATAATATTAACCTTAGAGGTAAGTCCAAACTCATGGTACCACGATTTCGTTTAACCAAGGTAAACAACTCTTTTATGGGGAATTGTATACGTTTTTACAATAAGATTCCAGGGCATATTTTAAAAATATCATTTCCAAAGTTTAAAAACTACATTAAAAATATTTTGATCGAAAAATCATATTACAAAATTGAAGACTACGTGTTAGATAAAGATGTATGGAAAGACGACACGGCTCCAGAATCCACACAAATTTGATTCAAAGTGTATTCCATAGCATTTAAGTTTATTTGAAAAAAGCAATCCCTAGAGTTTCTTGCTCGTTCTTCTCAGGGAGGTCAGCATAGTGAACGAGCAGTAGCTTAAATGTGACGTTTTCAAGTGTAAATTTATTTTACCTATGAAATAAATGATTCTTTGACTTTGACTTTGACCATTTGCACCTGAATTTCGGATCACTATGAAAATGTAAGTTGATATTTTGATCGCGTGCCTGCTGGAGGGTGCCAGGGTATTGATCGCACCCGTCCACTACATGGGCTAGCACCGGCGCTGAGCAAGCACGATCTATTAGCAAAAAATATTGGATATATTGAAATATATTTGTTTTCTCAAAGAACTAAAGTATCGGGGTTTTCACTGATCCTATGGTCATGCGAATAGAGAAAGTAATTATTTCTAATATTAATAAAAGTAAAAAAATAAATGCTCGGGCAGTTAATGGTGTCTATAAGTGTAATATATTTGTATTGTCTTTGTGTTCATGTTAGAAAGTATTCTCAGAATTTCGTTTATTTTATTTATTTTTTTATTTTATTTATTAGATGCGCAAAACAGTTTACATTCACTCCGTAACAAAAGCTTCAATATTATTACTAGTTCTACTCTAGAATGTAAACCTAAACATGTACATACAGCATGACCAATCATAAGTAAACAATTTTGTTACAATATATTAATAAAACGTAGGTACTTAGGCATAATAAAACTGTAACCTTAGAATAATAACGCATAGAAACCTAGTCCGCACACGCTAAGTGAGGCAAATTGAAGCGCGCCAAAAGGGCCTACACGAGCGGACGGGCCTTCAGTGCTCAAGATCAACTTGCACCGCGAACAGATCAAGAATTTTCGCTAAAAATGACGAAATGTGCGGTAAATGAGTGTAAAAATACGTCAGACAAACATAAAATGGATACTAACATCACATTCCAAAAGGAAGTAATGCGTTTCAACTTGTGTTTTTATATAAATATTCACTAAAACCGAAAATTAACCTACTACTAAAACTAGCCTACATGAATTTGATTTTTACCTCACTTGTGACAGTTCGTTTAATATGAAACTATCATTCTATGCGTTATTATCCTAAGACTGTAACCTTAAATAAAATAGAATTACTATAACTATATATTCTATTGCAAAGTCTTTTAACATTGCTATCAAATATATCCTCTAAATCATCGCCAGGAGCAGCCATAATGTCATTGTAGGCCCGACACATTCTCGTCAAAGGGTTGTAAAAAGAAGTATTATTAGTATAAACATTCAACAGGAATGGTCTAGGAAGGCGTCGTGGATGGCACTTGATGTTAAAATTAATATGGAACAGAAGCGTTGAAGATTTAATATAAGATTTAATATTTATCCTGTACCCCACGTCTAGAATTAAAGGACATAACCTTAAAATGTGATAACCTCTCTTCGTAACGCGACAATTTGAGACCCATTTGTGATCTCTAACTCACTATTTATACATAAATAGACAATTTATTGTGAGGACAATAATACATTTTCATGTTTTTATATTACGATATTTAAGGAGATAATTCCTCTTATTAATGCAAACAACTATTCTTAACCGGGGCCCCCTGAAATCGAATGAACAAAACTTGCGTAGCTATTACCTATACGATATTTTAAGGGGGGACCTTGGTAGTAAAGATTGTTTTATTGATAAGTAGCATCTCCCCGCAAAGTATGGTGAAATAAAAACCGACAACCTTTATAATTTTTACGTATTTTTTTTTTTTTTTTTTTTTATAGATTTCTCATAGAAGGCATTACGGTTAAAAAGACTTTAAAAAACCTGATACAAAGATCCGACAAACAAGCACAGAGAAATTCGTGAGGTCTGCTGGTCCGTTCCGTTGCTTAGTTAGCACAGCGTCTGGTACGGTTTGCTAGAAGACGTCCTTTTGTATCCGGCCGGATTGAATTTTTTTCTAAGTATTCGAACTTTGTATTAATAATTATAATAAATAAATAAATAAACTAGTGAAATTAAACAACAAAAAAGTAAAGATTTCTATTTATTTACAGGTAATTCTTAAGAAACATAAAATGGATATTTAATAAACAATTTTAACATTTCATTTTGTTAAGTAATAACTTTTAGACCAGTAATACATTACAGTATAAATACAAATGTAAAATAAAATAAAAAAATAAAATACTAAATGAGATAGATAAACACTTTATTCACTGAAATAACACAAATACAGATTAAGCATAAAAGAAAAATCTAACATGATTGTCAAAGCAGTGAAAGGGCGCTGACTCAGCATATGCCAAAGTTTCCTAAGGCGCTGGTTTTCAGTCAGGACCAACAAGAGGGATTAAGTTATTTGAAAGTAAAAACAACGACTATGCGTACAGTTATACATTGCCAATAATAATAAACATAGTAAAGTGTAAATAGTGCATCTAAAACAATCTATTTGATATGTAAATGCATGAGCGAGTGTGAATATAATTACAGCTGTAGGAGTAAATTGTGATTGTAAAGGGTTTTAATGTTGTATAATATATTTAGTATACATAAAATGTGAATAGATCAAAGCAACAACAAATTCGATTCTAGACAGACTACGTAAAACAACAAAAATATACTACACAAGTTTTTGTTTTGCACTAGACCAGTTTAACTTAAGCTTTGGTATGATGGACGAAAATTGAAAAATTACATATTTAATATTTAATTGCCGATGAAATATGATTCCGTTTGTTTTGTAGACGTTTTGCTGTTTTTCCCACACCACCGAATGGAACAGTATGCCATTGTTAGAGATATTCATTATTACAATAAATACAGAATATTTTTGGGCGTACGTTATTGGCGCTGTACTATTTCAGCTTTCTAATTTGTGATTTCAGCGCAAACGAGAGTTGATATTTAAAAGTGATGTAAGGCCCATTTGCCTGGTGAGTTGTCAGGGATAGACGGCACTTATTTCGCCTCTATTTCTGATTATTTATTTGCTAGCTTCACGGAACGAACGTTCTGTTTTGTCTTACAAATTTCTTTTTATTAAATTTCTTTAACAGTGTAATAGTAATTAAAGAATACAGTACATAATTTGACCATCTTTTATTGGGCTAAAAACCGATATAAGTTGCAGTTATTAAGGGCTCTTGTGACTTGTTTCAATGTGATAGCGTTTGGTCGTTTTTTATTTAACGCAAAAAGTAGCACTTTACAATGTATTTAATTATAATTAAAATCAACAACGTAAGTTTTAATTTGCTTCGCCTTAAGACGAATCAACAAGCCGTCGTCATGAATATCTTCGTCTTCGTCATTAGACTTTTCCACATTGTTAAGTTCTCCATATTCTTCATTAAAGTTCACTGAAAATCCGTTCTCTTTATTCCAAGACCACTTCCTCTTTTCATCTACCCATAAATTGGCAGCTAACATCGTTTCGCTCGCACGTTTGACTGTGAGACCTTTAAATATCGCATCTAGATTGACCTCTACTGTAGTGTTCTCCTGATCTCCGATCTCCAAATAGTTTTCCAGCCTCAATAATAAAGACTTCTTTCCCCAAGGCTCAACAGTTAGCAAATGCACACCTTTGGGCAAACTATTAGCCCAAGAGAACGCCTTGCTAGGCAACTGCAACCAATCTTGCAGACTGAATTTAGTTGCATCAGCTATCAGAACTATAGGTTGCAAATGGAACTGCAAAACCTGCTTCTTTTCTTCCATGCAATCAACTTTGCTCTCTGCTTCAGACAAAAACAATCTATGTCTACCTCTTACAACCAAACCCTTTCCATTGGCTTCTTCATTTAGTGCTTCTCCTACTCCAAACGCGTCATCATGTAACAGCCTTCTATGTAACATAATTTCAACTTCGCCTTCAGAAAGCGAAGTACCACCTTGAGCTCTATCTGTCAGAACTGCAAATTTATGTTTCTCATCGTTTATGTAAATTTTGTTGGTAATAGGATAATAATTTCCAGCTATTGGTTCTTCTACAGTCAAGTCCCATTGAGGTCTCATATTTAGTTTTCTTTTCATAGCCTGTCGACCATTAGAATCCGTGTAAAACTCCCCATTATTAGCCAAATCTGTCAAATATTTGACAACGAACTCCTTCCCTATATCATCACTAACATCTATAGGACCAACGACCCATTCTGTCTCCAAGAAGTTAAGCCCATCGTATAACCTAAAAGTACTATGGACATTTTCAGCAACATTTATCCTCAATTCTTTCACAACAGGCCCTGAAGGACCTTCAGAAGTGTTGAATTTCAATGATATAGACTCAGTACCGTTAGGTCTAAATATATAAGCCCCTGAGCTGCGGTTTGTTGGGACTGCATTGTTTCCTAGAGCACCGGGGTAGTACGAGAACTGGACGGCAAATTGTATTTCTGTGCCATCCTTTCGAGTCAAGCGGGTTATTTCTCCATTGGGGCTGACGTGGAGTTTAATGTGCTGTAAAAGAAAATTTTAGTTAGTAAAGACACTACACTGTCTCAGACCAAAACACTGAAATGTTGTAATGTACTCCATCACACGTGGCCAATGCAGGTCGCCGATTTCACAAGTATTTTTTTTTATGATAACTACTGATGGGACTAAAAAGTCGTGCGGCTGGCGGTAAGCAATACGCCTGTTCATAACAGTTAACAGCAATGTCACTCAGGGGCGCAAACTGCAAAGATCTGAGGGGCACTGCAACTGCGTCTGTCACCCTGAGACATAAGTCCACACCCTTAGAAACTTTATAAGTCTTCTAAGTTTTGTATTTGGTTTCCTCATGGTCTTTGAGTCACCATAACAGCAAATAATCATTAATTAGTAATCAAAGCACATGACTTGAAAACACTCAGTGCAGTGCTTGATCCATTATACCTATTTTATTTAATGGACGCAAACCTTAATCATGATCTTATTTTAAGAGGTTGACTGTAACACCAATTATAAGTAGCCTTTAAGTAGTTTTAAGTAAGATCCTTCAGTTTAAGTCTTCAGCATTTCAGGAAGAGTCTTTAGTTAAAAATATTAATTATCCAGGACACGAAAAAGTCTCAACAATATTAATCAAATGTAAATGTCAGATCCTTCACCATTTGTCAATTTTGTTTGTTTTGGACATCATAATAGAATGTCATCGTCGATTGCATTGACGGAGCTAACACTTTATAAAAAACAATAAAATAAACTAAATATGCCTTATATGCTACATTAACTAAAGTTAATGTTATGTCTGTCATTCTCTGTCACTATTTTTCATAAATAAATTGTTATTTTTCTTAAGTGATGACATATTACAAGAAATCTTACCTCATTCTCCAAATAAGAATTATCAGAATAACTGTTAACCACCATCGGATCATCACCTAACATCTTCATGTCGTCATCAATAGCCGTCCTCAACTTGACTTGGTTGAGTTTCTTTTTCTTGTGTTCTTGAATAATTTGAACCAATTGATCGATCTCTTTTGTTCTATCAACATCGTCGTCTATTATGGAATCGTCGAATACGTTTATATTATTACGTCTAGACTCGTATATAGGCGTGAATACAGTTTTCCCATGCTTCGCCTCGTCTAGGTTTGCAATATCAATCACAGCCCTTTCTTTGACATCGCTCCAATATTCATAGTCATTAGGATTTTTAACGTCGTAAGCTGAGCGTTTGTTACGATTGGTTTTTCTTATGTAGAATGTTTTGTATGAGACTGGGTGGAGTTTGGCGATGAAGAAGATTTCGTGTGTTGCCCCCGATTTGCGAGTGGGTATTGATTGGACCACAACAGGTATGTCGACTAGCTGCGATGTGATCTTATCACCTGAAACATTTTGCATATATGTTATGCGATTATTTGTGAACCGATTGTGACAGTGGCGGATTTGCCCTAAGACCACCCCCCGGACCTAGGGCGGCCAATCGTGACAAAAAATTCACTAATGATAACAACAAATAACTCAAACCACCTAAATATTCTAAAGGCTCACGCACATTATGGCGGGCCGCATTGTACCGCAACGTATAACAATAATATAAAATATAGATATGTCTACCAGTAGGTGTATGAGTGCTGAGAAAGGGGCGACTGGTACTGACTACATGGCCTGGGGCTTAGGGCGGCTAAAGACTGCAAATCCGCCACTGTACAATCCAGTAGCAATGATTCTCTTGGTGCTGGAAAGAGAGTACCTCAGTGTTGGCCCCATTTTAACTTAAACCGCAAATGAAAATAAAATAAATATTACGTTGTTTATATAGGATTGCATAAGCAGCACGCACCGACAGGAATAAGACAAACATGCATAAACTCGTTCGACGTTATCTCATTCGACGCTCAATCGTACTCAACAAGTAAGAACAAGTATTCTATGAACCAGCCGATTGATACAGGAATGCACAAATCGGGTTATTTAACAAAAACTTGTTAAAACATGATTGCCCGCGGTCTGTTATCTGCGAAAATTACCTATCTAGGAATACTAATAACTATTAAAATGCGAAACTGTGTCTGTAGCCTTTTTATTTGTTTGTTTGTGTCTACACAACGCATTTTAACTTGCAGAAAATGTTTCAGCTCTAAGTGTGACAAACTAGGGGATGAATTCGGTTTCACCCACTTTTTGATAACAAATTTTAATAAAACTTGGCAAATAGATGCAATTCCACAAACTTCTGAGGTTGTTTTTTTTATAAAAAAGTTATATATTTTTATTTCTCTTATGATTCTCTTTCACTGTGCGAAATTCCCTGCCTGCAGACTTATTCCCTGAACGCTCTAACTTTGGATTTTGTCAAGGCGACAATGAATAGGCATTATTTAGATATGCATGCTTCATCGTCGACCTGTCAGGTGAGATGGAGCTCAAATGTCATCTAACTTATTATTTTTATTAAAAAAAAGCTTTATTTTTTGTTTTTAAACCTACTGAGTACATTTGAAGACCTCTTCAATACTGTAATATGTAATGCGCCCTCTATGGGAAGAAAATCTCTGTTTTTGTGTATATTAAATTCATTTTAAGTCAGATCTGTATTTCACTGTAGGTGCGATATGACTCGACCTACAAATCTGTCATTGGTACAACAAAAAATGAACGGTAGAGTAAAAATATATGTTACATGTATAAATTGCAAAAAGCTACGCGAGGGGCTCTAGTACTTTTATGATATAAACTTCGATAACGATGTAAACAAAACTTTCGAAAGAAATGTCAA